GTCATCTTCCTACTTCAAATATCAATAATGTAATCACCAATGAAAAGTTTTTATTCAACCATCAGTCATAGCTCTTTCTTCAGCAAAATCAAAAGGAGTTTGACTTTCTAAAGCCTGCATTCCTAGTACATATCCTTTTTTTTTTTCAATGTAGCTGCCACTATAACTGTACAACATTTCACTTGAAATATTTTTTTTCTGTTTACCTCATGCACAAAATGTATCCTTTTCAAGAATAAAAGTGCACAGCAGTGCTTGCAAATTGCACTTTCTGGCATCCTTAACATCTCCGCATTCATGACTGAGTATTGCTGGGGAATGGGCTGCAGCTGCACCTCTACCTAAAAGGGAAGCTGATAGTTGTTCTCCAAAAACAAACCAGCAAATTCCCAGCAAATCAGTGACAGGACATCCAGCTGCCCTTATTTAAGGGGAATAGTGCTGCTCTTGAAGAGAGGTTTTTGGCTTCCCAAGAGCTCTCTGCATTAACTTCTCTGAAGTTATATTATCTCCTTAATTAATCCTGTCCTTGCTGACACATGAGCACACAAGATCTTTTACACGCTAACAAACAGTCAAAACAGGACAGCCTATTTTGCAAGCTATCGTCAGCCTCACCTTATGGATGGGCAATGTGAGGAAGTGGAAAAAGCAGCAGCACGTTCCCAGTTTCCACAGTGGGATGTAGTTGAAAGTATTTACTGGTAGAATATGCCCTCCATGCGTGTGTGAGGAGGACACTGTCCCAAATCACAGCTAGCAGGGCCAGGACGAGTAGAGGAAGCAGTTTTGGGGCCCTCTCTTAGTCAGCAGCTACTCTGGAACCCCAGCATCTAAAACACTGTTAGATTTATAGTAGTTTAGATTAATTTTAGTACAGCTTTCTGTATCTGGGTTTCCACCGAGACTTTCAATGAATTCACATATTTGTTTTTCTTCTTATTGGAATCATTACTGCATTGAAAAATCAATTTAAGCAAATCTACACTTTATTTCAATTCAGAGGATTCACTGTTTTTAGCCATTAGCATTTTCCTTTTGAGATTGAGAGGAACTGGCTATTGTTCCCTCAAGGAATAAAAAGAAATAGGACGTTCTGTTTTTTTCTGGTATTAAATTCTCAGTTCAATTCACATCATATTTTTTTCCCTCAGAAACAACATTCCAGCTAAGCCTGGCATTTTTTTTTTTTTCCAAATATTCATAGCTGCAGCTGAATATATCATACAGCCTAAGTAATTTCTGCAGCATACATTTACAACAGAGTTACAGGATACCAGTATATACAAACAAACGTTAGATTTTGAATAGCCTATTCAAATAATACTTTGTATAAAATGCCCTTCAAAATTGGTATCCTGACTACTTTATTCCACATCTTCAAGACATGATTTACTTGTATATCTACTTATGTCAGGTAAGCCCACATTTCTGCAGACAAGGAGAGTAACTGCATTGGACATGTTAGATATTTTGCATTCCTTCCCTGACTTGAAGATGCCATCTAGGAAGGTTTGCACATGCAAACACATCCAAATTTAGTATGAAGGACAAAGAACACAGAATTTAGACACTATAAATATAAAAAGAATTGAATATAGTAGAACATTTCTTGCTATTTATGCCAAGAAGATTCTGTCTTCAGTTCAGGTACACAAATTTTTAAAAAGATCTTCTCAAAGATCCTATACTTACTCTCATTTTTTTGTGTGTAAGAAGCCTGGCCCTGGCACTCACAGCAGGGAACAACTGACCCTAGGAGAGTGAGTCAGGGCACACTGAGGGTTTCTATCAGACTGAGTCAGGTGCCTGGGGCACTGGGAACAGGAGGCCTCTGTGACATCCCGGGGAGCAGCATTTCCAAGCCTCTGGTGACCGGCAAACAATGTAAACTCCTAAGGTGGGGTAACAGCTGAAGCTGAGGTGCCTACAAGTCAGGCAGCCGCTGAAACAGCACTTAGTGCCTCTGGGAGTCACCTGAGGTAGGTGCCTGCAGCAGTTTCCAGCCTGGAGCATGAAGCATTCCCTACGCCCTCAGCAAGGTGAGACGTTCTCATCCTCCTGTTTGAGGATGGAACTGTTCCACTTGGTGTAAGCAATGTCAGCTTTAGCAGGCCGGGGCCAAGTCCCCGGGGAGCCAACTCACCCGTGGGCAAGGCCTTCCTGCTGCAGCTCCCGTGAGCCTGATGGCCCTGCCCAGCAGCAGCAACTCCTGCCACCCGGCATCACCAGCTCTCCTATGGGGTGGGCTCCAAATCCCTGCCTAATCCTCCGAATCCCCCCGGGCTGTTGCAAAAACAAATACTTTAAGGGTTACTCAGGTAACTTCCGATACTGCTTAATTGATTAGATATAATTCCTTTGAAGATGATTTATTTTTTTTCCTTCACAAATGTGAAAATTGAGGACTTGTCTTGAAAGAGACATAGAGAACATGTTAAAATGAAAATGTTTATCCATTCCAGGGCTGCACATGGAACTCCACCTAAGGTAAGATGTAAGAATAGCAAGATTCATCCTGTGAAGTCCAGCAAAGATCACCAGATCAGATCGTTTACCAGATTTAAAAAAATAGATTTCAATAAATCTGCAGGTTTTTGCATTGGCAAAGTAGAAGAAAAATGCTGCTCCTACGGTGAAAAATATCTGAAAATCCCTTGACAAAACACTGGAAATGTAACTTAAATGATTTGGTTTCCAGATGTTAACATGTAATTTTCTTTTAAAATGGGTGAATGGAACAAATTACTACTGAGTATAACTCGCTGTAATTTGTTAGTTTGTTTTTATTAAAATCTACTAGTAAACATCTCAGAGGACTACTTAGCTGGAACTATGATAGGTCTAAAATTTCAACTTGTACTGTATTAATAAAAGCTGTTGCATTTAGGTGCATGAACATTTTAGTGATTATGTTTGAAATAATTACATGACATGCACTATGAATCAAGATAAATCAAAATCTGGTTAGTCTCCTCCTTTTGGTCATTCTTATGAATGCACTGTGATTTTAATATCTTTCCACACCAAGAAGATGAGAATGAAAAATATTTCCCATCTGAATCTAAACAGTGATCTTTCAATCTTCTTCAACAGAAACTGCAGCCACAGGCTGAACAGCACTAACAGGACTACTGCTGAGGTTGCTCTCTGTTAATTCTGCACAGCTTGGTTAGATGCAGTTGGCTGCCGAGGGTTTTATACGTGTTTGCCAGCCTAGTAGATTTAAACAGTTAATGACCTGCAATCTAATGAATCTTTAATTTGTTGTTTTACTATTAAGATATTATGACTCATCAGGTGGGAGATTTTGATTCACGAGTCTGCATATAAAGCTGTCTCTTGGTACTAAACATACTGTAAACATTGCTGTTCCATTTAAAAATAATTTTATATAATAATAATCAAAATGTTGCAATGTTGCTACTACAAATTGAAGTTTTAGGTTATTACCATAGAGTACCATGATATTTTTCGTAACGGTGTGAAACGGCAATATTCTTACTGGTAGACTTAGTGTGGAGGAACATGAACACTGTGAGAAATAACATCTTGTTTCAATTCCATGGCTTTGTTTTTCCTGCTTGCATGGAGAGGGAGTATGGGGAGAGGAGCAGATATTAACAGAGGCTGCTGCAGGTACTAAGAGAGGCTCTTGCAGAGCCGCGGTTTAGAACTGAAGCCCTGGAGGAAGGTGTGCTGTTCAAATATAAACAGAGTGTTTATATAAATATAAAAATACATAAATGTGAAAAGACTGAGTGGTTTTGTGGTACCCTGATAGAGTATGCTTGTACAGCCAGATAAAAATCTAACTGCAGCTGAACCAAATGAATGAAGGGGGAAGGGTCAACCAAGGGAGGCACCTATTCCTAGATGCCAGCTGATGTATTTACAGCATCATAAACAGTATTTTAATCCTTAATTTTGAAGGTGAAAGATCTGATGTGACATGGTTTAAAAACTGACTTCCACAAACCTTTGCATTGATACCAGGTATATGCACTTCAGGATAAAAGCGGGGTTTGACACATTTCTGTTTGGTATTTGTTCCAAAATGCTCTCCTTTGTTTCATCATTCATTTGTTGGGCAGCTGCTGGAGCAAGTGATTCAATATTTTTTGCAAGCAAGTGAACATGAGACAGCCAAACAACTTGTGGTCTTGAAGTATTGATCTTGATATTGCTGATATACACCATAAAGCCACATTTTTAATAAGACTAATATGAAGCTCTACAAAACATCATGTGAATTTTCCTCAAACAGAATATAAAGATTTCTGTTCCATTGTTGTGGAAAGTAAGAATAAAGTCAAGTCAGGAATCCAGGGATGCATACCTAGCACCAGAACTGAGCTTGGTTGGAAGCCACTAGAAGCCTTAGTGCTAAGGTGATTGCATGGTCACAGCAATATCCTGTACATGTAAATTTGGTGCAGCACTCCTAATGCTGGTGCTGTGGGTCTAGTGGTTTGCAAAATACTGGCTTTGATTTATGCTGTAAAAAATCTATGTCTTCAGGCTACTTAGACAGCAATGTTTTTTACAAAAAGCAGGTTCTAGAAAAGGTTGTAAACTTGATTGCATCTTTACTCTGTATTGCACAGAACGGGCGTTCCATGTTCACTTTTGCACCTGAGATTCACGCCAACCTCTGACTGCTCTGTGTTAACAAAACATGAGTCAATTCAACACTGTGCTTGTAAAAGAAGTTTGTTTTTTTCAATTGTACCTTTTGAATGCCTTCATATTTTTTTAGCAGTTAATATTGAGAAAGATAATGGATCTACTTGAAATTCTACCGAGTCATGGCAGTGGGATGTAGCTCAGTACAGTACTGTCAATAGTAATTCATCTTGTGCTGTATCTGTCTCCTTTCCTATCAATTTCAAGGTCATGAAACTGTAACTACACTGACTCTTCTGCAAGTCAGATATTGAGGAGAGTTTTAGTATCACTAGAAAGAGAAATATGACCCCTACTTTCCTGCAATTACACAGGGCCTACTGGGAGAGAAATATGGGAACATCCGAATACCAGGAGAAGTTGACTCATCAGAGTTTGAAATGATCCTAGATGCTGCAGTAGAGGCTAAGCTGGAGACAAGGATTTTGGAAGACTGGTACTGCAGGGATGAGAATGCAGTGCCACCAGCATATTACCTCAGACCAAAATCTGAAATGCTGAAGAGCTACCAGAATACGGTAGGTCATGCTCACCGCTTCTGAAAAACTCTGCAGCAGTTACAGTGCAGGGTGGTCCCTAGGGCCAGGCACACGAATTAGCTCTGCAGGCCGGTCCACACGTGAGCAGCTGGCTCTGTGATGTTCCTCACTGATACCTGGTGACAGCAGAAGCTGTGAAATGCCAAAATTCCCGGTGGGTGGTGCCTGTCGCGTTCACGCCCTGGCCGCCAGCCTCATACAACTGCACCAAGAGCACTGTAGTCAGTAGTCAGTGCTTGGGTTACAGGGGCATAATTAGCTGTTTTCTTCGTGCTGGAGCAGGGAGAGCTCAAGCTCTCCTGGCTGTTGCCTTGTGATTTGCAGAGGAAATGCACATTTTCCCTGTGACTGCCATACTGGCAAAGCTCTCCACAGTGAAGTGCTTAAGTGCTGTCCTGAGTCAGATCCCATGCTTTTAACTTATTAAATGTATTTTAATGGGAGATTGAATACCATTCATTTTTTTAAATGTGCATTTGCCTTTAATGGATTATAATAAAACTTATGTATTACCTGGAGTTCAGTTTTACTGTCCTGTACATTCTGTGTATCCAAGGACAGAATTCAGTGTACAAAAATAAGGTGTCTAATATCGGGGCCAAACATTTAATTCTGAGTACAAGCTGCATTATACAAGAAAATGGAATCAAATACATTCATTACTCATAGCAAAATATAGTATTTCATCTGTAGCAAGAAAAAAATGGAAAACATGAAAAATATTGACAGAGTTTTAATGAGTTGAAGACAGGATAAGGTGGCTGTTTCTGAAGCGTTTCTCACAAGAACCAAAGCAAGTTTTCTAACTTCATGCATTATTTTGCTAGTTCCCACAATATCCCCTGAATAAAGGGACCTGACTTCTTTGTTAATAAGTCTTTGTACCTCTCTTGATTACTGACACAAAGGAGTAAGCAAAAAGATGCTCATAACTAAAAACTAACAGCTACACCTCATAATCTTACAGAAAGTAATAAGGATGAACAGCTCTGAACATATGTCAAAAAGAATTATTAAGCAATTCATCCTTTCTATTATGCCCCTCAACTGTAACAACTTACACCCTTAAGCACTTCACCTGCAGTAAGTAATGCAGCAGCAACTACCAGGTGCCTTAGAGAAAGCTTTGTCATGACATCTGAGAGAGACCCTCTCACAGGATTTGTGAATTTACATTACAGTCCCTTGATGATGGAATTACTGCTGCCTAGGGTATTGACAGATAAAATCCCTTATTTTTCAAATATTAGCTCATGTGTGGTCCTTAATTATGCATGCCAGGAGCCTCATTTTCAGTTTTGATATCCAAGTTTAACTATTACTACTATTACTTCTCAGTAGCAGAAGTGATTACAGCTTTAGAAATATTATTGCTAATCTATTACCATTATTTAGACTATTTCAGACTCAAAACCCTCTTTATAGAAAGGTTTTCTCAGTCCTGTTCTTGAAGAATACTACTTCAGCCATCTGAAGTAGAAAACATTCAAAATGGCTAACTTGTGTAACTCTAGAATAGGACAATAGAATATAGTATATCATTTTAGAATAGAATCATGATTACCTGCAAAACAAGAAGTTGAACTCTTGTTTATGTATAATGTATCTATTTCTCTGACCCCTTGTCACCTTGAATATTAGATTCGTACTTTCTGAAGTTGTAGATATGTGTATTACAGCTAATGTTTAACTATGGATATTTTTAAAAGATGGAATCTTCTTCAAATCCTGTGAATGAGATTAAATGGCAGGATGTATCAGAAGAAATTAAGAAGATTTTTAAGACTGCTGTGAAATTGCTGTATGAGAAAGGAAAAATGAAACGCAGCCAAGCAAAGAGGTATCTTTCCTCAGGTAAAGTTTAGACCAATATTTCCATATATTCATTCCTTCTCTTTTCTATCTGCCTTTCCACAAACATGACAATGTATTTCTGTCAGCATCTGACCAATGCCATCATTTCAGAACCAACATGTTTAGAGTTGGGAGGATACTTGAACCTCTTTAATAAGAAAAAAATAATAGAATGTCACTGTTCTCTTTTCATCCCCAGCAATTGAAGATGAACTTGACTTTGCCTTGGGTAAACAAACACCAGCTTTCCTAAAAAAGTGTGTTTGCTATATTCGGAAAATTGCCAACATCGAGCGTTTTGTTAAAATTCCGGAGATGGGAAAATACATGGATGTAGTACACACAGCTGGGAAGTTTCTGCGGGATCCGGAGGCCCATGAGAAGCTGCTGAAGCTCAGGGATGAGTTCATTCCTACCATAGTTGCATCATCCAACCTGCGAGTGTACACGTCCATCACACACTGTGACATGAAGCTGGGGTACTCGCAGGAAGTGGAGAATCATTACATTGAAGGACTGAGTAAGCAGTTCTACGAAGACTTGATTGACATAATCCAAGCAACAGTACAACAGAACTTTGACACTGAGACAGACTTGCTCTATGATGAAGTTCTTCAACACTCGTCACTATGTAAAACATACTCCATGTTTTATGAATATAGATGTGAGGCATTAAACATAGTTCACAAGTACCTCTTACGCAGCAAAACGGGACACGTTAACCCTCTTATCGTATATGGAGGACCGTGCACAGGGAAAACTCTTCTACTGGCTGAAGTGGCAAAGAAGGTAAATAAATACCTTATGTAAAATGGTGCCCTCACGAGCATTAGCATGTGGAGGCCAGATTATTTTTCATTCTTCATTTTGCTAATAAATTCTGATATCAGCCTTCAATAAGATAGAAAAAGCAATACTCCACATATTAGATTGTATACACATCTAGAAAGCTTCTAATAGCAACATCTCTGAATCATATGTTTAATTGAAACAAAAATAGCTTTAGCAGAGCTTTTAAAAACCGGTCTTACTCAACTAATAGGAGTTCATACATTTTTGAATTACCAACCTGTGTTTTAGAATTGTCGCTTTCCATATTGCTCCACTGAGATCCTATGAATGTGCAGCTGTTTAAACTTCATGTATTGGTTCCAGTCTTATTCACAATTACAACACGTCTTTCCAAGTCCTGCTATCTTGGTTTATGTTCTCCTCAGAAATTATTCTACAACTAGGCCAATTGACCCTTATTACAAATCTATCTATCTTTAAAAATACTTATAGGTACTTATTATTTCTGGCATACACTTCAGTCATTGAGCTGAGTACTACAGAGGGGTGAGAGAAACAGGAGCACATGCCAAAGATGACCCAGCCTAAGCCCTGAGCTGGATGTCCCAACTGAGCCAGCAGTGCAGGCTGCTCAGGCTGCACAACAGGCCAGGAAACAGCCCCATCAACCAGAAGGAAATACTAAAGAAACAATACTGATTAAATCCTATCTCTTTGCCAAACAAAGTGGCATTCTATAGACTCATGTTAGTTGACTATGTGAAACTGGGATTTGCAACCTAAAATCTCATTTCAGATCTCAGTACGTGAGTCAACCTGGGGGCTTGGGTTATGCTTTTCTTTTAAAATATTCTGTAGTGACTTAAAGTGAGGTGAAAAGATTTGGTGAGTGAGTGAATGGAGCCCGCGCACAGACCAAGAGCATTTCAAGCCGTGTTCCTCTCTTGCCTAGAGAGTACTCCAATGGAAAGGAGGGACAAGAGAGAGTTCTTAGGCCTTGTAGCAACGCGCAGGAGCGCAAGAGCCTCCGCACGCACAGATGAGAGCATATTGCTGTGCTCCAGGAGTTAAGGTAGCCAGTTAGGAAAGGACAATCCTGCAGTCCTATCCCTGTCTCCCAAAACCAGTGCCTGACTTTGAAACTGGGAACAAGCTGGGACAAGGTGCCAAGCTGCTCAACTGCGCCACGTATGTCAGCTTCAGATATCTGTAATAGCAGAACACTCTCTGTCAAAGGAAGTTTTTTTTTACTATAAACTTCTAACTTTGGAAATGAGGCATACATTTTGCAAAAAGTAACCTTGGATTTATGGTCTAAATTCTGCTCAAGGCCAAAGATCTTTATGGATCTGGGTCTTAGTGCTTTGGAATATTGTGTGAGCTAAACAAAGATGACATATGATTTAAAAAAAAAATGCACACAAACCATCTTGGAGCTCTGCTAGTGAAAGCATTTCCATTCAATCAGTGACACTTAAAAATATAAGCTTAATTTCTATATAGAGAATTGCTATTTATAAATGGTATTACTGTGCTACATTTAGAGTTTAATTAAATTATGTTCTGTATTCTATAGGCCTATTCTTGGCTACAAGAAGAGATGGGACCAGACTCCGACCCTGTGGTGGTCATAAGATTTTTGGGATCAACAGAAACAAGTACAGATCTGAAGCATATACTTCAAAGTACTTGTGAACAATTAGCAGTCAACTATCGTTGCCTCGTACAAAGTTACCCCAAAAAGATTCATGATCTTCGGGACTTGTTCATAAATCTCTTGAATGAGTCTTCATTCCACAGGCCACTGGTCATAATACTTGATGCGCTAGAACAACTAACAGATAATGATGATGCTAGGAAGCTCTGGTGGCTTCCCATCCACCTTCCCCGTTCAGTGCGGATAATTTTGTCAACACTGCCAAACAAACATGGGATCCTGCAAAAACTGAGGTGCCTTATTCATGACGAAGACAACTACATCGAACTGCATGCAAGGGACAGAAAGATGTGTAGCCAGGTACTGAAACATCAGCTGCTGCGAGTGAAAAGAAAAGTAACGTCAGGGCAACAAATTTATGTTAATGAAGCATTCTCCAAGTGTACGCTGCCTATGTTTGTAAACTTAACCTTCAAAGAGGTCCGCAACTGGAGGTCTCACAAAGATGTCGATGAGTCCTCCCTCTGTGTCACTGTACATGAAAGCATAGAGCAATTGTTTTGGTCACTGGAAAGCAAGTGCGGATCAAGACTGTTGTCGAGAGCACTTGGCTACATCACTATGTCCAAATCTGGCCTCAGTGAAATGGAATTAGAAGATATTTTAGCCCTTGACAACAGTGTTATATATGAACTAAATGAGCGTGTCAAAGAAAGCAACCCTTTGAGGATTCCATATATATACATTGCAAGGCTTAAGGAGGGCTTACAGGGATACTTAATAGAACGGCAAGTGAAAAATGTAACACTTCTTCTTTGGGCAAACAGGCACTTGCAACTAATTGCCCAGAAATTGTACTTGAACAATGAAGAAGATTTGCATGAGATGCACACAGTCATGGCAGAATATTTCCTTGGTGTTTGGTCAGGTGGGCGAAGAAAACCTTTGTACAGCCGTGACCAGTATTTGAATGGTTGTCCTGACCGTGGCAGTAGACGCATGAACGAGGAAGAAAAGCACGGTATGGATCAGGCTGCTTTTGACAGGCAAGCACCTGATCAGCCATGGGTCTTCCAGTGTAACCCACTGGAGCCTGACATCTTCTTTATCAACCACAGAAAAATGACAGAGCTTATACATCACTTGACGCGATGCGGGCGAACAGATGATCTCCTCTATGGAGTCATCATGAACTTCAGCTGGCTGTACACCATGATTAGAATAGGGCAGTTCGATAAGGCCCTTTCTGATATCGAATTGGCTTACACCTACTCGCAAGAAAAGGAGCTGAAATTTCTTGCGAGCACCCTCCGCAGCATAAAGTTCAAAGTAGTGAAATACCCAGGTTCTCTGTCTGCTGAGCTGCAGCAGAGGCTCCTCCCGGTAGTAAGTTCATTGCCTAAACTGAGACACCTGCTTTTAGAATGCGACAAGGATGGACCCAAGTACTGCTCCATAGTTCCTTTGCATTCTTCCATGGATGTGACGTACAGCCCCGAGCGCCTGCCCCTGTCCTCCAGCTGCATGCACGTCACGGAAATCCTGCCTACTTTCAACCCCAGCACAATTATTGCTGCTTTGGAAAATGGCTCCATCAGCACCTGGGATGTAGAGACGCGCCAGTTGCTGAGGCAAATTACCACATCTCCATCTGTCATCCTAGGGATGAAACTCACCACTGATGAGAAGTATCTGGTAGTGGCTACAACAAAGAACACTCTTTTGATATACGATAACATAAATTCCTGTCTCTTGTCTGAGGTAGAAATTAAGGGGTCAAAACACTGCGGAATCGGGGGGGACTCAAATTTTATAAATGGATTCACATTATCAGTCAACCATGCCCTTGCCTGGCTGGAGGCCAGCAAGGATGTCACAGTAATAGATCTGCTTTATGGCTGGCCTCTCTATCACTTCCACTGCTGGTACGAAGTGACGTGTGTGCAGTGCTCTCCAGATGGAGTTTATGCATTCTGTGGGCAGTATCTGAACACCACAACCATTTTTCACTTAGGCAGTGGAGAGAAGCTGGCCACTGTGACCTCTGAATTTTCTAGTGGATTTGTGAAATTCCTTCTCATTCTGGACACAGCCCAGGAAATGGTGATGGTGGACAGTGAGGGGAGCCTTTCGGTGTGGAATACAGAGGAAATTGCAAATCCCCAGCTTACAGATGACTTGGACTGCAGGAGAGAAGACAGTGAAGTTGTCAGCGTTGAGCTGTCCGAAGACCAAAGTGCAATTTTAATTTGTAAGGCTGCCAGCATCGAGCTGCTTGACACTCGTGTGTGGAAGGTGGCTGAAAAGTTCAGAGCCAAACACAACGAGCGCTTTGTATCTGCCGTGCTGTCCAAAAATGGCAACTGTATAATCGCTTCAATAGAAAATACCTCAGCCATTTTTGTTTGGAGAAGAGATACGGGACAGTGTATGGCAAGTTTACAGGAAATCTCAGGAACTATAGTCAGGCTAATTAAATCCAATCATCACAACATGCTGCTATCCTTATCCACCAGTGGTGTCCTTTCTATTTGGGATATAGATATCATAACAGCTATGTCCAATATTGACAAGTCTGGCAAACCAATCCAGAGACTGGTGTTGCCAGCCAGAGGTGAATTAATATATACCTTGGATGGATCAGATTCTGTCCATAAGTGGAACTTCAGTACTGGATTCATCGAAGCTGTGTTCAAGCACGAAGGTACTGTTGAAAACTGTGTGCTGACCTCTTCTGGAGAAATAATGGTTACATCGGACGATAAATGCAGCCAGTACGTATGGCACACTGTCAGTGGTGAAAATATCTTTCGCATTAACGGGCAGAAAATCTCAGAGCTGATGATTACTCACAACGATCAATTTGTAGTCTCCCTCTGCGAGCAGAACGCATCCAGAGTGTGGCGGCTGGCTACAGGACACAGAGTTTGTAATATTCTCGTTGCCTTACACAACGCATTTATAACCACTGCAAATACCTTCGTAGTTGGAATGGCAAAGAATAAAGTGTTGGCAGTGAGTCTCTGGACAGGCAGTATAACCAAGAAGTTTTCCTGTGACGACGGTGCAATCATTGTGGATATTAAGCTGATACCAGATTGCCCAGATATTGTTGTGTTTATAACATCCACTGAAACTGTGAACATCTGGAGCCTAACAGAGGAAGTCATCTGCAGGCGTGTACAATTGCCTAACAATTTCTTAAAAAATTTGGAAGATTTTGAAATATCCCCCAATGGGAAGCTCGGCATTATATCCCGCGGAGATGAGAACATCAACGTACTCGATCTGCACAGCGGGAAGCTTCGCGTGCTTCACGCGCCGGGGGTCGTCTGGCGGCAGCGGCTCTCTCGGGACGGCCGCTACCTTGTGTACATCTGCTTTCGCAACGAAGACGACGACGACAACGGCGCGGTCTCCACTTTGATAGTCATGAGGCTAGCAGATGGCAAAAACATAGGTGCCTGTTCTCTCTATAAAACTCCCACTTTCCTTGCACTCTCTCAGAGGCATTTGAATATCATTATTGGATTTGATGACGGAAGTATAGGTACTTACACGGTAGTTGATCGAGTAGACGCCACACTGAAAATCAAAATCGCCACTTCAAACAGCCGCCAAATTTTCAACAACGCAACACAAGTGATTAGGCCAAAATGTCACAACTACAGCTTCAAAGCGACTGCAGACTGCATTTGGAGGGAATCGACTGAAGTATTTGCAAGGGACAGCCCCATTACAGTGGCAGAGCCTGAGGTAAGTGAAGCAACACCAACCAAAAAACACAACTATTGCTATGAGAAAGTGTGCTCAGCCATAGATTGCAGAGGACACAGTTTTACTGCTGACAACTGAGCATCCGTCTGGACTAGTTTACCTGAGTAATAGCATATAGGCATAGGTTGCCTTCTGAATTCAAGTGAAAATCAGTGCATTTCTTGGAGGACAGATAGAAACAGCAGAGGGCAGACCAGCTGTTTTTTTCCTCAGCAAATATTCTGGCATTTATGTAAACGAGAAAAGCAAACGAGCAAATATTTAACCTATGGGCTGCAGGGTTTTTTAAATTTCGGAATACAAGGTTCAGTCCAAGATTCCATCCAAGGCCTTGACTGAAAATTTCTAGCAATACTATCAAAAGTGTTACACTATTACAGAAGGTAGGAGATCTTACTTGGGGTTGGCAAACTGCTTTGACTGGAACTAAAGCTCCCTGTGGCCTGGGAGAAGCGGCAGACCACTGTTTTCTAAACCAAATTGCCTGGATGTGGTCAGAGCTGGGTCTATTGCTAATAGCCAACTTTATATCCACTAGCAAAAATAAGTTTTTCTGCTTGATGGTGCAATGACAAGATGTCACCTGCCAACCTGGAACACTTGATACATTCCATCATCACATAAAAATAGTTACTTTTTTTTTTTTTTAATTAGGATTAGTCCTTGGGTTGAACAGAGTAGGCACCAGTGAGTGGCAAATCTGTCAACATTTGAGGTGATAAATACTCATTTACCTCAATGAAGGGACTGAAAGATCTTTTTTTTAATTGCATGCAGGGATTTCAGGTTTCTGTATTGTGATAAAAATGATAAAAACCTAAGTCATTACAGGAATATAGGGTCTTTTTTTTTCTTTTTGGTTTGGGGAGTTTCTTTGTCTTCACAGTGTGTATTAGTACAAGGTGTAATTAAAACTTTTTCAAAAAGAAAGGGCATTACAGACACAGTTAAACACCTGTTAACTTCTTTATGCTAAAATGTCCTTTTCTTGTAGGAAAGTCCAAAGCAACTTCTAAAGTAATCTTAACAGAAAGTTTTCAGACATGCCATATATTAATCTTGGTAACATTTGCCTTACTATCATTTCTGTTCTTTCCCATGACAAATGCAGATGAGATGACCAAACACTCTGGGACTAACAGAACATGCTGGCGCATGTTCTGAAATATTCCACTATATATAAAGGCTATCCAAAGGTTCTTTACTGCTCTAATTTGTAATGAGTTTTTCTTACTTCCACATATTTACAAGTTTCACTTTCTGCTTTAAAACTGTTCTGAGCCTTTTGTACAGTTTTATCAGCTTTAGGGCAGAAATTGGGAAATATTAACAAATGCTTAAAAAATCCATTTCACCCAGGCTGACAACATCTGAAAGGGTGAGAAGATTTTTCCCTCCTTACTTATCTTTAAAGATGGCACGTCTGTGAAAATTTTTTCAAAGGATTTAAATGAAACAATTTTATTTTTAAATTCAGAATTCCATGCCACAGATTTCCAAGAAACGAATGCTAAGCTAGGATTCAGTGTAGTGTGTGAATGTTCTATGTACAAGCCAATATAGTATATTAAGTGACTTGAATGATTTTTTCCTAACTTGTTTGCAACTAATAGATCATACTGAATGTTTTTATGTAAACTTTGTATTGTTGGGAAAACCTACCCAATCAGAGATTTATATTTTCATAAATGTTAAATTTAGTTAAATTTTGTTACAGAGTTGTTAAATTAGAAATCTATTGCAGTCTTCAAACAATATACAGTCTTGTGTATGCATTGTTTGTACTAATAAATTAAGGAAACAGACTTGTGTGTAGAGTTTTATTTTTAGGGGAAGCTCCTGTGGGAGACTAACATGCTACTTCTTGAGAAGTGAATGGCATGCCCAGTTGTTAGGGGCTATCTCCAGAACAGCAAATTTCACTCTGTCACATGGACACAAGGCACTTCCATCTTCCATTAACCTGTATATAAATAGTTTCTAAAGGTCTGTATTCATGAAAATTCCAATATTTTTCCCACTTCAGGTACCTAAATAAAACATTCAAATGGCCCTGAAATTCACCAAAAAAAGAGAAGTTTGAATGTTATGAATTAGAATTAGATTAATTGAATTAAAGACTGCCAGTGTGCAAGGTAAGTAGCTGCGCAAGGGCCTTGTGCAACCTACCACTAGAAAAGAGGGGAGCAGCTGAACCCCGTTCCTGTTTAGTGCAGACCTGCAGGCGAGCGGCTCTGACAGGATCTTGTCTATGCATTTCTACCTCGACAGAGGGAGAGAGCCATTTACTTTTTCAAGGAGATTATTTGCATATTTAGAGCAAAACCTTCACTTATTCCTTATCTAAAGCATATCCATAAACACAGAATCACAGAATGGTTAAGGTTGGAAGGGACCTCTAGAGATCATCTAGTCCAACACCCTCTCCAGCAGGGACACCTAGAGCACGTGGCACTGGGTTTGTGCAGGTTTGGAAGATCTCCAGAAAAGGAGACTCTGCAACCTCTGTGGGCAGCCTGTTCCAGGGCTCTGTCACCCTCACAAGAAAGTTCTTCCTCACGTGGAGATGGAACTTCCTGTGTTTCAACTTGTACCCATTACCCCTTGTCCTGTCACTGGTCACCAGCGAGAAGAGTTTGGCCCCACCGTCCCTACATTCTCCCTCCAGGTACTTGTACCTGTTGATCAGATCCCCTCTCAGTCTTCTCGAGGCTAAACAGGCCCAGCTCACTTAGTCTTTCCTCATACAATAGATGCTCCAGTCCCTTAATCATCTTTGTCGCTCTATGCTGGACTCTGTCTAGAAGCTCCACATCCCTCTTGTACTGGGACACGCAACACAACACACTCACATGACATCCATGTTTTCCAGCACAGAAGCTGCTAGAAAAAGGCTGTGGCTGGAACAAAGCTTCCAGACGGAATTGACCAGAAATTCTTCGGCAGACCAAGGTAAGCCAGAGGTCAGCTAGAAAAGAGGTATATTTTATCAGTCATTTCCTTTGCACCACAGCTGGGGAATGCACAGCCCATGACTTCATTTCTTACAGCCTGTGGCCATTTGACTTCTTTCATGTTATTATCAGATAACATCAAAATGTGAGTTAACATGTAGCCCAAAAAAGGCTTTCGGAAGGTCTGTTCAGGTCTCTGTGGTTCCCCAGTTCTAAAGCTACATGGCACCTGCTCAAGCCCTCTACAGGTGTCTGTGGTAGGAGCAGTTTTAGCCAGCTAACCAGGCAGTTGTTTGAAACAAATAAAATCACCACTAAAACATCTTTCATAGCCAGGGTGGACTATATCAGTCCCAGACCAGCTCAGACTCCCGCTATTTTGCTCATCTTTGTCAAAAGCTACACTGAAAGCGCTTCAGGGCAGGTTGAGGCAGCTTGCCTGTCTGAAGGACCCCAGTCATTTGGGCAATTACACCAATAGCAACAATCTGTATTTTTTTGTTTGGTTAAGCAGAAATTTAAAAATATATGTTTTAACATGTATATATATTTAACATAAATGTTTAGATATTTAACATATATAAGCCTACAGAAGGACAGAATTTGACATTTATTTTTATTTTTTCTAGTTATGAGACTAAAGACTTTTTTTTTTTTACACGCACTTTTTTATGCAATCATATCAAAATGTGGACTAAGGCCTTTGGAACCCACTTTGAAGTCATGATACCCCATGAAGGAGGTTACTGCGAGCAAGATTACAATTTTTCCACTCCCTGAGCAAGATTACACTTTTTACAGTTTTCACACTGCAACACAGATGAAAACAGAAATCTCCAAAGCAGTGGGATATTTTGCTGACTGTCATTCAGTCTCTATGGATGGCTTGGCTACCACACGGCCCAGCACTTCCCACTCCAAGATGACACTGACGCAGGTATCTCAACCTGCAAGCGTAACCTTTTCAGCCGCAAATTTCAAAGGCAGTCTGCTACCACAGCAGAAATGTCTTTCAAAAAACCTCAGCCAAAATTGTTTAGTAAAGTACAAGAATGAGGCTAGAGGGGAAAAAAGAGGATTTCCGTAAGCTGAACATCTCAATGGCTTTGCCTTTGACATCTCAAAAAAAAAGTTGTGTTTTAGAACAAGGGCCTTGGGTGGGTGAAACAAGTGGTCATTTCATCCAGGACTTATTTGTGAAAACCTAACAAAACTATAAGCCTGGGAAGCTCTCACTGGTTTGCACATGCTCATAGAAAATATTGGATTTCAGGAATGGCATAATCTACGTTGGCACAACTGGCATATCTAACGGACACAACACACCTGGGACTGAAGGGCTAATGCAGGACTTCTTGCTAATGGAAGAATGAATGAGACAGAGGTCAGCAGCAGCTACCAGTAAGAGATGTGAGGACTTGGGGTCTCCTACTGGGAGCAGATCAAGGAGGAAAATGGTATCACAAATGAAGGTGAAAATACAAAGCAATGCTGGGAGCCCAGGACATGGAAAAGCTAGGACAGCCTGATCAGAGAGACCAGGACTTTTGGGAGAAGGGGAGAGGAAGGCACTCCCAACTTTTCAGCTGTCAAAAGTTACTCTAGAGAGATGCAGAGGATTTCCTGTATTTCTGCAGGTCCACGCGGTGTGAGACACCCCCATATGGAAAGCACTGGCCTTCCTGTCCACGCAGACGGGGATGGGAATGCAGGCCCAGTGCTCAGAGCACGAAAAGCGCCGTGCTCTGCCTGAAAGCCAGGCCTGCCCACAAGCACGTGCAAGGGGCCAGGTCCAGCCCACGCACGCAGCCCCAGCCCCAGTGTGCACTCGCACAAGGGCAGCACGGAGACCCAGCCCAGCGCCGGTACGTGGCTACAGCGTCCTGGGGGGCACACGGCCTGTTCCAAGAACCTCTGAAAAGGCAGCAGCCTGCCTAGCCCTGAAAGTGGGGACCAGTCTGAGGGAGGCCAAGCCGGGGGAGAAGTGGGGAGGCAGGGCCTGCCGCACTCTGTGCGCAGAGCCCCCGGCTCCGCACGGGCAGCCAGCCCGAGGCCCGGCTGGCCGCCCAAGGGGCATCTTCAGAACTTCCACCTGCTGATCACAGCCTTTCAGAGAGTTTAATGCGGGCTTTTGCAGCAGGACATTCCCTAGCACTTGAAGGCCATTTCCAGGTAATGCTAAATCTTAGCTGTAGGAAAAGAAAAACCCACCCCCTGCCAGATGGCAGTTGCAGTGCAGTTGGAATGAGCCAAGTCAGAGTTGCTGGCTGAAGAGAGCCGAACTAACACTCCTCGTGTTGCAGAGCAGAGGTGCTGGAGTTGGCAGTTTTGCTGGAGTTACTTCAGCCCGAGAATTACATTTGGCCTCACCAAATGACACACTTCTCTGTTTGAAATAAGCCTATCCAAAGCAGCTCGTTCTCACTCGGGTGATGCTGAAGCCTCAGCTCTGCAGCCACGCGAGGGGATAGCGGGACTAGAGGGCGCAGTTGCTTCCCCTGCACGGGCGACCCCTTCCCCCTGCTGCGCTCACAACTGCCATGAGTTTGACCGTTTCTCTCAAGCAGGGCATAGCAGAGGCAGCACGAGGGGAGCAGCCGTGCTCACCGCCGAGCCGGCACATCGGGAGGACACTCTGCGGGAGGAGGAGAGCAGGGTGGCACGGGCCCCTTCCCAGGCACGGCAGGGGGGCCCCGC